CAAAGTTGAATGAGCTCACACGAATAAGCAACAAGACACAAGGTTTGAGTTTCAAAGTTCGAAGAATCAGGCCTTTAAAGTTTGGTAATTGATCAACTAAGGTTAAAGGTTCTAGGAAGATGAATAAAAGTAAAATTGTGTAGTTGTTGAATGATAATGTGATGATGTTCTCCTTCTCAATTTGGTTGGATTTCCAGGGTTTATATAGTCTGAACCTTGGAAATCTTTGGACTACAAGTGCGCACAAATTGTGGTTCTATGGTTAGGTTAATTACAGTAAGACAGTTACTATTGGATTATAAGTATATTTCACTTGTTACATATGTGTTACGGCTGTGAAATATATGTAGCTTTGATTTGCATCAAAGTTATGTATGTTCACACCCTTTGATGTAAGTTCTGCACATGTTACATATGCTAAATCATATGTAACTTGACTCTTGAAACTGAGCCTTGAGTTGTAATTGCTATTTCTAAGGTTTTTATTATAATATGTCGCCCATTGGTACTCTGGTTTAGTACTCAGGGCTGACAATACTCTTGAGCCATGTAAGTATTCTACCATGTTCAGAAGCATATGATCTTCTGCTGATTAAAAATGATATATTTTGATGATATTCAATCACATGCTTGATTCTTTCATCAATGAATCATTCCGCTCATCATCATGAACGGAACAAATCATTAATCAATCAAACTATCTTCCCATTGATTCCTTTCCTATCAATGAATTGAACCAATTCTATTCAAATAAACAATCTATCTGCTTAATATCTTCAATCATCAAATCAAATAAATGATCTATTTGCTTGATATCTTAAATCATTGACACAAACAATCATTACAAATTTGTCATATATCTTGTCTTCAGACAATTATTTCGCATCATCTGTCAAATTGCTTTTGCAATAATCTATTGAGTCATTCAGACTAATATCTTGCACTGAAACACACCTATATCAATATTAGCATGGGAATACAACAAAACCAAGTAGCCCAAGCCGCCGCAGGAGTGAAGCCCAACAATTTCAAATCAAAAAAATTGTCATGTCACCTCAAATACCGGAAGGAAAGGGACCAGAAATGCAGCATTGGTCAATTATACTCTTGGCATAACCACAAACGGACTCAGCTGAAGTGTCAATTAGCTAAGAAGCTGGGACCTCCTCTCAACACAAAGTTTACTTTTTGATATGCCAACGAGGACTGCCCAGATGGGAAGAGATCAAGGTCTGTCACGGTACTGTTGGCGTCATCAACAAAGAAGATCTCTCTCTAGTTATAGCTGTCCGATGTAACCCATTTGAAACAATGAACGAAGACCTTAGAGAACAGTTTAATCACTCAATCTCCACTGCTTACCTTCATGCAAGAGCCAGAAATCCTTGCACCCTCAATAAAGCTCATAAGAAGAAAAGCAAGAGTCCGGAGGCTGAAGAAGCCAATCAAACTGATGATGAACATGTGTGTGGATGGATGGGTTGCTGTCGAATGGGCAACATATTGTAATAAAAACCTTAAAAATAGCAATTACAACTCAGGGCTCAGTTTCAAGAGTCAAGTTACATATAATTGGCATATGTAACATGTACAGACCTTACATAGAAGGGTGTGGACATACATAAACTTGATTCAAGCCAAAGGTACATATATTTCACAGCCGTATCACATATGTAACAAAGGAAATATACTTATAATTCAATAGTAACTGTCTTACTGTAATTACCCTAACCATAGAACCACAATTTGTGCGCACTTGCAGTCCAAAGATTTTCAAGGTTCAGACTATACAAACCCTGAAAATCTAACCAAATTGAGAGGAAGAACATTATCACATTATTATTCAACAACTACACAACTTTTCTTTTATTCATCTTCCTAGAACCTTGAAACTTTGCTTATCAATTACCAAAACTTAAAGGCCTGATTCTACAAACCTTGAACCTCAAACCTTGTGTCTTGTTGCTTATTATGTGTGCTCATTCAACTTTGTTTTTGATTAGATTCCATAATCAGTAGTTCTTGTAATATCCATTTGGTCAAATTACTTGTAAGGAAGTAGTCCTTGGGTACTGATTATATCAGATTTGGGATTCATCTGACATAAAAAACTCTAAATCCATGGGGAAATCTCTATTAGTCAGAGTGTAAAGTTCCTGGTGTTATAATAGACTTTAACACCACCTTCTTTGACCTTTCTTTGAATAAGATCAAGAGGATCAAATTAGGATTGAGAACTGCACGTCAGTTGCTCTTATTTTTAATTATTTTAAAGACAATAATTAACCCAAAATCCCTGGGCTAAAGCCTTTGTTTAAAGGTCAACTAACTGTAGTCTTTACTTGTTTATTGCAAGTAAAGCTCTTACACCCAAATCTTTACCCATTCATACTCGTAGATATTGATCTACACAACTTTGGTAGAAGTTATCAGACTTTCTACAACCTATTTATTCATTAATAGTATATGCTAATATACTATTCATTGACACTATCAGGAGTATGTGCAATGAGTGCATTTACTGCAACGGCCATAGATCAAATTTTGACTGACAAGGAGCAAATGGAAGAATTTCACAAGATTTGTGATTTTTTGGCTGGCCTATTTGCCAGCCTATCATTATACATCTTTAAGACCGACATTGCTATTTGTCTCAGTACAAACATCCCTATTTTTGATAAGCTGGAGTGGCAGGACACCCCTAATGGACAGGTCTTTGCATCAAACCTGATTGTATCTTGTGATGGCTGTGCCAATCAACTCCATGTGGATAAAGATCACACTCAATATGCATTTGGTCTTTTTGGCCTGATCAATCAAGAGACAGGCCAGCTGTGTGAAAAGAAGGATGCCGCTTCTCTTGGGTCTGTTGAAGGCCTTTATTTAGTCAAGAAATTTGGCATCAAGGTGGCGTCATCCCGATGCAATGGAGTGTCTGAGATTTTATGCAACAGAAAAGTAAGTCTAGAGACATTTGGTTCTTACACATTTACTTAAACAAGACGCAATACATCTGCATTAAACAAACCCAATCAATTACTAACTAATTCATCCGAGCTAGTTTCTGATGATGTGTATAATTTAGATACCACACTATACAAGCGGTTTGGAATCCTTTGATGCTACTGGAAATCAAATCGAACCAGATGTATGCAAACTGACCCAGTTCAGTTCTTCATGCCAGATTTCAGAAACCCTAGTGAACGGGATTTTGATTTTAGAGAAGGAGAAAGCATTAATGAGTCCTCAGGCCTGGGAGAAATTCAAAAGGGAGTGTGTCAAAACTTATGAGAATGAAAACAGTCTTAAGATGGATCACCATAATCTCAAGGCAAAGCTATGTGCTGAGCTATCAAGGGATAAAAGAGCGGCTAGGGTGAAAGTGATGATTGAAAGTAATGCATGGCTCAAACAATGAGGCACATGATTAGTTTGTTATGCAAGAATTTATTTCCTTAAAATTTTTTGTTCTGTTCTTGTTGAAATGATGCTGATTATAGAGATTTGAAAAGGACATCACATATGTTCATCACTCTAAGTGAGAAGTGCCACAGATAATCATGTAGGTTTTGTTCCAACATGGAAAAAAGATTTACACCAAAGCCTACATGAGTATCTCTTCACGTACAAGGGGGAATTTGATTTCCCCCCTTGCTCACCCTTATATCACAGGTGGGAATCTCCATCATGTCCACAACAAAGGGGGAAAATAATTTTCACCCTTGTTCACCCCTGATATTCCAAGTGGGCAGTACATATTCACCATCTTTGCAACGTGTACATTGATATATCTTCACATCAGAGGGGGAAACTGACTTTCCCCCTTGTCCACTCCTTATATCACAAGTGGGAACTGAATTTTCACACGCTTAATAATTATATGTCAGTGTATGTCTACATTAAGCGGGGGGAATAATCTTCACCCATGTTCACACCTTATATTCCTCATTTCACCATCTTTACAAAGTGTACATCAGTATGCCTTCACATCAGATGGGAAAATGATTTTCCCCATTGTGCATCCATTATATCACAGTTGGGAAGTGAAACTCCACGCCTTTAAAAATTGTACATCAGTGTATGTCTGCATCAAGGTGGGATAAAATCTTCACCTTACTTCACCCCTGATATTCCAGGTGGGCAGTCAATCATCACAGATGGGAAGTGAAATTTCACACCATTGAAAATTGTACATCAGTGTATGTCACATGTAATTATCCTCAGGTCGGGTCTGAGTTTTTGAAGTTCACAAGGTGTTTACAGCCATGAGATCATTGGTTTGTTCTTTGCTGTTTACCACTTTCCAAATTATTTTCTAGTTCCCTTTCCTCATTCTTCTTATATTCTCATTTCTGTTCTCATATCCTCTATAATTTTGAGCCCCTCCCACCTCTTGCCCGATTCTTTCAGCTGGCAAAGGTAATTTTTTGCAAGCCTGTTGTCTTTGTCCAGATTTTTATCCTATACTTTATTGTGTCCTTTTTTCTATAAAAAGTCAAAGAGAGAGATATGGTTTACTTATTATTATTTTTTTTTAAAAAAAAGATTGAGAATTCTTCTGTTGAAGATATATTTTATTGTGTCTAAATTTCATTTACCTCATTTAGTATTTATTCAGCTCTGATAAATTGTGATTTTGTTAGTTGTTGATTTTTTCATGTCTCATTTTTCTTATTGGTACCGCTACCGCCCCGTAGGGGTTTTTGTATTATCATGGAGCAATTATTATCTTTACAGGGCATTTGGCCTTGGGACTTTTGCCCAAAACTTGTGTCCTTACCCTTAGAACTTTTGTCAAAGTTATTAAGTAAGTTTTTATTATTCCACGTTTCTGATATGTCATAAATGAAGCTGAACAATGAAAAGCGCACGTCAACTTGCAAGGGTCCGAGGCTACGGGCACTTTGTAGAGTCTGATTTGAACACGTGGCCTGCCGCTGGGCGGTACTACACGGTTCTGCAGGCGGCCGCTCTACCACTGAGGTATAGAGACATACGGTACCGGATCTCATCTTCTTCGGTACAGGATGTTGACGTGCAATTTGAGGTATTTGTTTTAATTAGCTGTGCTCGGAAGGAGTAGAACCAACAAGGGATTTGGTTGGGTAGGCGTTAGAGAAATGAAGAAGAGAATGACAAGGGAAGGGCGGAGAAGTGGTCTTGAGCAGGAAGCAGAGAAATGACGTACATATTGTATTAATTTGATGATGCAGTGATGAGTTGGTGTTGAATCTGATATTATTTATTTACTTTCGATCGTATCTCTGACTGGAACCTCAAGTACTGTGCTTCATGATGTGGCGATCAATTCCACAACATCGATCGATCTTCACAAGATCAGTCCACCTACAAAGGCTATCCTCGAAAGTTCCTATTGGACATCGTACATTATCATCAACTAAGCCATCCACCTCATCATTAAGATTGAACTTTCCAACCAATCCAATCTTACGCGGACTAGCCATCATAGGAGTCTCCTTTGGAGTAGTAACAGCAAGGTAAAGATAATCCACTTATCATCCATGCTTTTGAATCAGAAATTGATTAGATTGGATTTTGATTTTTTTGATAAAATAGTTGTGGAACTTGTTTAATTGGATTATTGATTTATGATTCAACCACTTATTCTGATCGTCATTTAGATCGAGTTCCAACTCATACACTTTCTCTTACTTCTCATCGTGGTGGTCCTAAAAACCTCAAAGTAAGATAACTTTACAAATCCCTTGAATCTGAAAATCAAGTGACTTAAAAAGTTGTGGGTTATGTTTTCAGATTGCGGATGATTTGTTAGGTGATCATGATGATGATGATCAAAATGCTCAGAATTCTAAGAAACCCAAATTGGTCATCATTGGTGGAGGTTGGGGCGTGAGTGATTCGGTTTCCTTTGACTTGGAGATGAACATAGATACTGAGTTCATTTTGTTGGTCATCGATAGGGTGTAGGATTGATCAACTCGCTCGATCCAGATAACTATCATGTAGTAGTAATGTCAGATCACCTTGTCAATCATCCTCCTTGAATCAAATACTGATCTTTACCTTCTTGACATTTGATAGTGCGCCAGAAAACTATAATCTCTTCACCCCTCTCTTACCATCAGCCACAGTAGGAACAGTCGAGACGCGAACATTAGTAGAACCGATCCGAAAGATCGTTGCTAGAGTTAAAGGACATTACCTTCAAGGTTCTGCAGTTGATATAGATTTAAAGTCTAGATTAGTAGAAGTGAAACCGACGGTTGAAAATCAAGAAGCCTTTTACGTTCGTAAGTCATTTCTGGATTGATACCATCAATGATGTCCAATACATTAATAAATCTAATACATTCTAATGTATTTCAGCATATGATAAATTAGTCATCTCAGTGGGTTCAGTATCAAATACACATGGAGTACCTGGATTAAATAATTGTTCACAACTCAAGACGATAAATGATGTAAGAGAAATCAGATCGAAGATTATCAATAATTTAGAAACGGCTAATTTACCAGCAGTAGAAGAAGAAGAAAGGAAAAGGTTATTGAGTTTTGTGGTTTGTGGTGGTGGTCCAACTGGGGTTGAATTTGCTTCTGAGGTGAATTACAAGTTGAACTGTTTGGGTACATTGTAATCCAGTATGACAAATTCAGTGCTGATCAGATTTGATCTGTAAACCTCTGTTTTGGTATGGTGATGAAAGTTATACGACATGATCACTGAAGATATGCTCAAATATGTTCGTCAACCTTTCTTTGCTTCCATATCCGCTCTACTCATATCTGATGATAGAATCACATATTTGATTTTTAGTTCCCAAAATTATTAGGAAGTGAAGTATCTATCCACTTGATTCAATCTAGAGATCATATCCTCAATACCTACAGTGAAAAAATCTCACAATATGCTGAGAAACGTTTCGCCAAAGCTGAAATTGATACAATCCTGAGTGAGTAATTTTTTATTAGGTTAGATCAGCTCATATATACTGAGCAGTACGGATTATTCTCTTAATGGTCGTTTAGATGCGTAAGTGACCGTGAGGATTTACAATTTATTCAACGCCCCTGAATCTGATCCCATATGATATTTCTTTACATGACCAATTTTGATCATCAGACGCGTCAAAGAGATCACACCCACTTCAGTGACATATACTAATAAAACAGATAAAAAAGAACATACGATTCCAGCTGGATTTGTATTATGGTCCACTGGAATTGCCATGAATCCATTTACGAAAAAAGTGGCAGGATATTTACCAAATCAGTATCACAAACACGCTTTAGAAGTGGATTCACAGTTAAGATTGATTGATCCAAGATGTTTTCCAAGTCAAACTTTCAATTGCTAACAAGACGTTTTGTCAATTTTTAGTTTGAGAGTTAAAGGCGCTCCTACTGATACTGTTTATGCTCTTGGGGACGCTTCAACAATCGAGACGAATTTAGTAAGATTCCTTGAATTTTGACGATTTACTGAAGATTCATTGACGATGGTGAATGTATTCAGGTTAATTATCTTTTAGAATTAGTGGATCAGTGTGATAAGAATGGTGATGGACAAATCGATTTTGAAGAATTTGAAATGATGATGAAACATGTCAGAAGAAAATTCCCAACCTCACAAATGCATATAGAAAAAGTTAGGTAAGTTAAAAGATGATTCTACAAAAGAAAAACATACAAATCATAAACCAACTGATGATGTCAATTTGAATCAAAAGGGATGTATTTGAAAAATATGATGCAGATCATGATAATAATTTAGGATTAAATGAATTAGCCAAAATGTTTCAAGAGATTTCAAATAGATTGACTAGTTTACCTGCAACAGCTCAAGTAGCGAATCAAGAAGGGAAATATTTAGCTAAAAAGTTTAATAAACTAGTCAAAGACAAAGAAAAGAAAGTTGAGAATGAAGAGAATGAAGAACCTTTTAGTTACCGTCATTTAGGTAGTTTGGCTTGTAAGTTTTTTTGTTCGATTTTTCTTTTGGATTCATTCTTATGTTAAAGAAGGTATTCATAAAATTATATTTGGGGTTTTTAGATATTGGAAATTCAGCGGTTTTCGATTTCGGTGGTAATGGTAGTTTTGCTGGTGGATTAATAGCATCTTATTTGGTTCGTGTTATTTGTAATGATATGGATGTCAATCAAAAAAATCAAAATCTTTAAATGAGTTAATGTCTCTTTTTGTTTTGGATTTTGTTGGATCTCATTTGTTACAGTGGAGATCAATTTATTGGTCTGAACAAGTTTCTATGAGAACTCGTGTATTGTTGATGGTAGATTGGATTAAAAGAGGGATTTGGGGAAGAGATATTTCAAAGGTTTGATTCAAATCTCTTTGAATTCACATTTTTGGGAAATTATATACTGATGTTTTTTTTGAATTCTCATTTGGATTTGAATAGCTTTAAATTATGATTCCAAGATGATAGAATGTGATGACAAAAGAGGTGGGTAAAGCTGAAGAATTTGTAACATATCCAACCAATCTCTTGGGTACCTGGATACTTGTTTTGATTAGTAGTAAAGTGATTTGTATGGTCTGAGTAGAATGAAAGATTATGTTGTATACGAAACAAATGTGATAGATCAACTTTGTATTAATCTTGCTAGCTTTTTTATTATCATATAAGATGATGAAGCTTTGTAGACTTCAGATGAATTTGTTTGATTCAGCTTTGATTATAGCCATTTTGGTAGAACTTGTGTACCTCCTTGAAAAGTAGAATGAAGTGGGCCATAAGCTGTTCTTTTTTTGAGATTGTATCTCGAGAAATTCAATTCAAGATCCTAAAGATGTGGTGGGAATCTCAAGATTAATAGTCAATTTATTGAAACTTGATTGAGTTTCAAAGCTTATGGGGAAAACAAAAAAAACAAATCTGGTATAGAGCCATTCAAATTTATGAAATTTCTTTGGTTTTAAATTAAACCCAAAAATGAAATACAAGAAAAGGAATTGAGATTAAAGAAAAACTAAGTAAGAAATAAAAAAAATGAGAAGATGTATGTACTGCATCTGCATAAAAACCTTGTCAATTTTTTCTTGTTTTTTGCCAAGCACAATTTGGCCAATACCCCATCCAGTGCTTCAAATGAATGAGCTATATTCCAGCTCAGAACCAACCACCACCCTTGATCCCAATTGAATTCAATTAACCAATTCACCATTCATCTCTTCATCAAACTTTTACTTGATCCATCAGCATTCTCCAACTTCTCCAATTGACTACCTTCTCCTTCACCCGACTGAAAATTGCTTCATGGGCTTTGTAAAGTATCTGCCAAAGTTATCAAATGCCTTGAAGGACTGACAAAGTCCAAGATATCCTTGGGAATAAGATTTCAGATTGTACCTTTGACCAATTGATGTCACTCTACCAACAAACACAATCAGTTTTCAGGAATACATTAGAGTATAAGAAACAAGGCACATCTCTCATATTCAATGACAAAGATTGTGCTTTCATCAGGGAACTTGTAGCAACTTGTTCATCCCTCTTCTTGGACAAGATCCAAGAGGCAATCTAGTGTCTTGGAGTCTTGCAAAGAACTTTCACTCAAGCTCAAAATACACCTCCACCTTACTCTCAAGAAGGCCAAGATTTCAAATCTTTGCAAGAATTTCTACAAGACCACAAAGTTTATGAATGACATGAAATGTCCTGGCTGAATTCCTTGTATTCATTGGTGAGTGAATCTGTTTTATTTACTCTTCTTTATTTGCTTTTGTTCAATTCTTTACTGATTTCTTGCTTATCTCTCTCCAATTTCACCACATGAGAGTGCTGTCTGTGGATGTGATCTGATATAACCACAGGTCACCATTGAGTCTGTGTGTTGCATGCTGGGTCAAGCATTCTAACTCAAAACAATACATCCCGCTTCCAGTGATTGGACTGCATGGTCTGAGTACCATGCATGTCCATTAAGGCAGCATCAATTGCAGCTGCTTTGAAATATATTTGGGATTTCAGCTGGTCAGTAGTCTTTTCTTATCACTGTTTTAGTCTTTCATTATACTACTCCATAACACCAATGATACAGCTTCCCTTGATAAACCCTTATCCATCTCCAAATTCAAGCTCAGTCATGGACCACTGTGTGGTCCATCCTGGGGCCTTTATTGAAACACTTTGCAAAACCGCTGGTAAGTTTCATTCCTCAATCATATACAAATTACAAAACTGACTTTGATCCCTTTCACAGGTATCAGATGAGTATATTTACCTCTAGAATTGAATCCCACCAAGATGTGTTTCTTAGTTGACCAAGCTCACTTCAAGAGAAGTGAGATTTTGGAGAAGTCAGGTAATGATGCCACTTGGCCTATCCGAGAGACTGTATTAGAATTCATGACTCCAGAGCTTCTGGTTGCAGAATACAATGCATCTGGGTACTGCTTACTGCAGGGCATGTAGGAAGAGTATAAGAGGAAATGATTATTTTGCTCACACTTTCTCAATGTGTTTTTTTTCTACGTCTTATTGTTCCCTTGTCCTATATCTTATAACCTATGAATTAGTATGAGCAGAATCTCACAATCTCCTTCTATATTTTTTTTGTTTTCTCTTCCTACATCTTATAGCCTATGAATTAGTATGATCAGAATGTTTCAAATCACATGCTAAAGCAAATATAAAACATTATTTTCATTTCTTCACGATTTGAAATTTGTGCCATTGCTTGATCTCAACCAATCTATTTCAAGTTTTCCTTTTTTTTCCTTTTTTCCCTCAATTCTGTTTAAGATATTGTAAATAAATGATAATATGACAAGATTCAGAAGTAACTATGCATCTTTCATTGTTGGGTTTAACAATAGATTATCATTTTAGATTGGTTTGATGTTACCCAAAAAGATTTAAGAAAAGTGTTGAAGTCTATTTTAATTGATTTGATTGACTGTATCTTGATCTAATATGTTAAGTCATCAATTATTCTTCTCAAGAAAGTAATCAAGATGATGATCACCCTTTGCATCAAGTTTGGATACAAGGTCAATTCAATTGAGTTTGATTTACCATGAACATGTTTACTTTTCTTTACTTTAAAGTCCACTTGTTTCCTCTCACTCTGATAGGACGTTTCACACGTTAAAGTTCCTCAAATAAATGCATGAATATAAAAAATCATAATCCACTCGTTCTTTGTGAAAAGTTCAAGCGATCAAGTTATTCACGTTCACATCAGTCACTATCTTATTACATAAACAGTAAAGCAAAAAGGAACAAAAAAACAAATCCAAAAACTCCTACACGGAGCTTCGGTTCATGCAACAGTCTAATCCATGTATCCAACTCTCTCTCTTTCTCTCTCTTTCACTCCGTCACAAAGAAAAAAAACTATCAATTTTACTAACACACAACACGACGCAAAAAAGAAAACAAAAAAATGGGGAAAAAAAGAATCACAACAACTTGGTTTGGTTTGGCGGTTAGGTGTTTTTAAAAGTTTAGTGTGGGATATGAAAAAAGCATAAGAAGTTGGTTGAAATTAAAAAAAAGAACGCAATAGGATCATCGGTTCAAGTTGAAAGATCAGAGTTAGGTTCGATTGATTTAGTACCAAACGTATTCTCTCCTGAATAAGTCACATAACTAATTAAAAAGATGAAGAGTATGATTCGGTCAGCAATTAGGGAAGAAAAGGAATATGAAAGTAAATGATTGAAAAACTTACAGAAACCCATCTTCATCTCTAAAAAAGAATCCATCAAGAAAGCCAAACCAAAAGGTCAGAAACCAATCACCTCCAATCGAAAGAAAAAAGACATCCGAAACTCAACTTATGTTCTTCGTAAATAGCACTCATCAAAGCCGCCGTAGGAGGTAAAACCTCATCCACAAAAATAAAGATCGCCTTCTCAGGTGCTAATTTGATCCGTTTACGAATCACATAAACAAATTGTCCAACGGTCAAATCAGATGGAACTAAATATTTCTTCTTATCAATCGTTGGAATATCGGTTCGATCTGCTTTTTCACAAATCACCTAAAGAAAGAAGAAAGGTACAGATGAGAGGGGTTGGGATGAGTTAAGGGTTGGGATGATGATGGATGAATCATTGAATGATGGGCATACTGGAATACGGTCTGGGTACTTTTGACTAAGTTGAAGGAAAAGAATGGAAGGATGAGTAAGCATGAGTAGGTGTATGGTGTAAGAATAGAAGAAAGCAAGAAAGTCAACTTACCGAATTCGTTCTGCTTCAGCCTTTCGTTTTTCTATAATGTCAAAATGAAATCATGATTAGAATGATGGATTAAAAGAGAGAGAAAGAGAGAGATGGATGGATGGATGATACTCACCGAATGGATGTTCGTCTTTGAATTTAGATCTCATCTTGGTGATTTGATTGATACGAATTGAGAATGGATCGTTGGTTTTGAATTGATAAAGGATTGATGGATGGATGGATGGATGGATTGGTTGGGTGGTTTTTGATAAATCGAATTGGATGGTAATCAAGAGAAACACAAATCAATCTGACTCATTCGGTCAACAGGAGACTACGACTTGAAACTTAAATTAAACTTGAAATTCCATTTAAGTCTTAATATTTAAGTCTACCTTAAGACTATGTATATCAAGTCATTACACATCATTCATTTCCGAACCCTCGGTCACCTTTTGGATTCATCACATGATCGATTATGCATATAACTCAAACAAAGGAATCAGAATCCAATTGTTCTTCATAAACCTAAGTTCTAACTAAGCCCCTTTTATGATGCGGCCACGTCTGCTCTCCAACAGGGGGTTAGGGCTTAGGGCTTATACCCGGACTTTGGCCTGAGATTACTGAGACCAGCAGGAGTTTTAAGCAACTTTGCTTGAAATCCTTTTCTGAGGTCTAAGAAATCTTGCAATAATTTGAGCATGGGTTCTTACAAGCCTTGAGGCTTAGGTCGCACTTAGCACCACTTTACTTGAGAAATTGACAAATTTGAGCTGCTGAGTTCTTGTAAATCTGGGTCATACTCAGCGCGCAAGGGCCTACAACATGTGTGCTGAACCGGTTGAAATCACTTGGTACTAAAATCCGATTTCCTCGAGATCTAGAATTTGTGACAGGCTAAAAATCATATGAGGAGAAGCAGAAGAACTTGAAGAAGCCCTGCTGAACAATATTGCAAGCTTTGACAATGTTCAGAGCCCTCAAAAAGGGATTTCAAGCAAAATTGGTTGAACTCCTGCCAGTGCTGGTCTCAGGCCAAGCTTGGGGTATAAGAGGGTATAAGCCCCAAAGCTTCAAGAGTGAACATGGCCCTAGCTTAAAACAAGCCCCACCACTGCAGGGACATCCCCCGCCGCAAGCTCCGTAGGACACGCACGGTTTGAGGAGGGACCTGGTTAAGTTAAGATGTGGCTGCGTTGGAAGAAAGGGAGGCTGAGTTGAGCTTAAGTTCTTCATAATCACTTCAATTATTTCTAGAAATCCTTAAAAAATCAATCAACTTGATCTCTATTTATTAAACCAAAAAAAGTAATCCAAGATCATAATCAAATAACTTCAAACTCCAATCTTTCCACACAAAAAACCACAGACAACCACATTCATCCTTCTATGAAACATTCAACATCTAACATCTCATAAACCTACTATTTACTCAATCCCAACTCCAAATACATCTTCAAGTATAGTACATCAAGGTTGCCACTATATATTATACTGTTGGTATAGTGTCTTTCAACTATACTACTGAGAATTATAAGAATTATAAGAGTACATATATCATTGTACTTAGACTACAATGAAAAATATACCCAGTTTATTTGGATTTACCAAATATACCTGGAAGACACCCATGCAAGTTCTTGACAAGTTTTTCTAAACATACTGAGTCTGCAGTATATTTCAGATCCAGAGTATAGTATAGTGGCAGCCTTGAGTACATACAGTTATAGTTTCAAAGATCTTTGTCAGCATTTTTTTGTTGAGCAAGGAACCAAGCCTACTCACAGTTGAATGGTTTTAATCAAAACTGGTGACACTGCTAAAGTACAACCAGATTGAGAAAAAGAAGGGTATGTTATGTTACAGCTTACAACCTACAAGTAGTATTCAATAGTATTCAAAGCTGGCTCAACTTGATTCAATTAAGTTGTAAACTATCATCTAATTGTACTACTAAAAATGATCAACCACAAAGCTTGGAACCCTTAACAAAAAGAACCATGAGCAACATATTTATTGAAAACTACGGTAATCAAAAAAAACCACCTAGAGCAACACCGAGTCAGCAGCGCTCCTTTTAGCGCTAACGTAGAGATAGCGTAGCTTTATCCGTATCTCTATCCGATAGCGCTGCGCCGGCCAAGTGAGTTACGCTGCCAGGTCCTTGTAACGGTTTTTTTTCAGAGGAGTTACGTTAGCACCCCAGGTTAACGGTCCTTTTTTCTTATAGTTACGCATCCGCCCCGTAACCCGTGACCGTAACGGTTTAGCGCTTCTGGATAAGGGTGGCCCTCGCCCAATCTAGCTCATGTACAACGCCATCACCATCGAATCGAGATTGAACGTGTTCCAGGATTGACGCAAGGGGAAGAGGCACCAGAAGCACGACCTCATGATGGAGCTATATGTATTGCCAGTAAGTCCAAAGTCATCTCACTCCCCTCTTCAAACTCTTCCAATCAATCTTTTCCTTCATTTTAGTTTTACTCAATCCTTTTCTACAAGCAATATCATCATGATTGATCCCACTCGTCATTTCTTTGTTGGTATCTTTGTCCAGATGTTCAACTGTATCTTCCTCAGTTATCGGTCATGCCTTCTACAAGTTCACAATCCCAAATCAGCTTCTCCTCATCCCAGCGTGTTACCTCGACCACTACTCCTAGTCGATCATCACAAAGGAATCGCACTTCTGTTTCCAATCCTGGCATGGTTTCTCCCTGTCCTGACGGTCGACGCAGAGTTTCAGTCGAGCATGCACCTAAACCGACCTCGAAGCAGAGCAAAGCTACAGTCGTTGAATCAGCTGACGAGGCAGACACAGGCGAGGAATCTTCAAGTGATTCTCCTCAAATTGTCAAACCACCTGCAAAGAAGTCAAAAAAAAACAAGACTGATAATACAAAGAAGACCACCACGGACAACGAAGTAAGATTTTGACTCACCATCTTTCCATATCTCTCTTTGCCCCACACTGACTTCTTGAATCTCGCAGATCTCTTCCAAGCAGGTCACCAAAGCGATCATTGTAGCTGATTCCGACGAAGAAAATAGCCGAGTTCCGAAAAGGAAAAGGAAACACAATGAGATCGACAAGAACGATGAAAACGCAGCACTAGTAAACTACTACGACCCACCTTTTCACAGCAAGCCAGACAATGTAAGTTTACTTTTCTTTTATCACTTTTTTCCTTCCATAATCAACCACAGACCACACATCTAAACTACATATTCTCCCCTTAGGATCGGTCGCTAAGACCATTGGGTTATCCCTGCAAGTTTTGCTCCCGGGACAAATCCAACCCGGTTCGAATCAGTCACAGCAACCCACATGGCAATCTGAAGGCCCATCGAGATGGATCAACTCAAGCTGGTCGTTCAACCGTTGGCTGCCCAGGCCGACTCCAAGCAAAAGCTCAAGGATTCGACATTCCCCCTTCAGTGGCCGAAGTACTTGCCCGAGAAGAGGCTGAACGCAAGAAGAACGGACCACTTGATGCATTCGTCACAAAAACCAAGGTATCAAAGTATGACAATCTAACTTTCAATCAGGGTATGTGCATATGGCTGGTTCGTCAATCCTTGCCGTGGTCTCGACTTCAAGATCCATGGCTTCGTGCCTGTATAAATTACATTCGCCCAGAAGCCAAGCTCTATGGCAGGCATTGGGCAGCGCTTGAGGCAAAACGCCTCAACTTGTCCATGAAAGCACAAGTTTTCAATGAATTAAAGGTATGTATTAATTCATTTATATTTTTTAAAACACAGAACAATACTGATTATTTATCGATACTAATTATATAGGGATTGGACTCGAAATTCTCGATGCAGCATGACGTGTGGGCTTCAAAAGGCAACCGACACAGATTCATCGGGGCGAATGTAACTTTCATCGATTCAACATGGAAGTATGTATCTCGACATCTTACACTGAAGGTAGTAGCCTGGGAGCACCGAGGTGTTTGGTTAGCGGAACCTTTGGCTAATGTCTTGATCAAGCATGATCTTGTTGATAAGATAAGTTCACTTTATCATTATTTTATTCCCTCAAACTCATTCTTATCCTACTCATATCATTTACTAATTGTTTCTTTTTGGATCACACCTGCTTAGCCAGACAACTGACTCGGGTTCGAATAACAAGACAATGGCCACAGAATTACATCGGCAGTTTACCAAGCATTCTAGTTCAAATTCCAACTATTCCTGGGATCCCGAGAAGATGCACATCTTCTGCTTCTGCCACAAACTTGCCCTCATCGTTGGATCCGGATTGGCGGCTCTTGGTCTCAAGACACCTCCACCTCGCAAGGCCAAGACTGCCAATCGAGGACAATTTCCTGCCGTTTGCACCACTGTAGTTGAAGAAGAAGAGCCTGAAGACTCACAAGCTGGTGATGGACCTGTTGTGGAGGTGGCTGATGTTCCAACTGCCCCCGAGCCTACTGAAGAAACAAATTCAGATGTCAAACACAACCTTCAAGAGTTAGAAGAAGAAGACTCAAGTAATTTGGTGGATCGATTGGAAGCGACCTTAGCAGATGCAGCAGTTGACGATGAGCAGGATTGGGACGCCGCCGATGCCAAGGACGCAGCGAACTCCCTGCTAATGGGTGATGATGTTGCCCCAACTCATCGAAGGGAAGCAAATAAACTGAACTACATTTTAGAAAAGGTGATTTTTCCTTCCTTGACTTGTATGTACTTTGATCATTGCTCATTAACATCACCTGTGCTCTATCCCAGCTCGACTTTGTGATACGGCGTATCACACGCTCCTCATCATGGCGGAATGAATTCCAACGAGTTATGAAGGCTTGTGGTTTATCACTTGGTTCACTCATTGCTGGCTACGGAATACGATGGAATATAAAGTATATTAGCCGTCATAAGGCATGGTTGGCACGCGAGGTAAATTTCTTACTCAAATAATCCCTTTGTTTCCCTTCGGTCGACATTCAATCTAACAAATATTTTCACGTTTTTGATTTAACTACAGGTGATAGACCAGCTGTTAAAGGAGGACCTCGAACGTGTACGTTCCAAGTTTAAACGACCTCGCAAGGATGGTAAATCTCATGGCTACTTCCATGAGATCACTATAAGCCCATCCGAATGGGCCTTGGTTCAGGAACTCAATACCGAGCTTGAGGTAAGTATCTTGTTCCATCTCGTGTTTTCTCATGTCCTTCTTCAATTTGAGTCTCACAGATGAATATTCTTCCAGCCGTTTCTGTCCATAACCAAACAGATGGAAGGGAATAGTCCCACGGGGGCAATGGTGATCCCTCAATATGTCGAACTACGAGCGAAGTTGCGATCTCGGGAATCGAAACTGTCGCACACCGATGCCCTTTACCCAATGCTGGCTGCCATGATCTCAAAGCTACAAATCTACTTGGACGAGGCCCTTGGTTGTGAAACCCTTGTGATGGCTACACTGTGCCACCCTGCCTTTCGACTCAAATTCTTCGAGCGATTCTTTGAAAAGACTTCATCGACATACATTAATGCAGAACACACTTTTAATAGAATATTCAAGGATTACCAGCTTAAATCAAACCAGAAGAGGACATCAACTGCTGCTATGGACAAAGAAGATAGCTCTCGTCCTCCATCAAGCTCAACAATGTTTGACTTGTACAGCGACAACGAAGACGAAGACGAAGACCTCGGGGATGACTCGCAGGTGAAAGATTACATTCAAGGTGCTGTTCGTATGAAAGAGCCCGAATACAAACGTGATGATCCAAATGAATCGCTGCGTTGGTGGTCTGTGAGTCAACTGATGTTTCTTGATTTCCCCACAATACCTCATCTCATCTCGCTTTTGCTTTGCGGAATCCAGGTGAATTGCAGCCGATTTCCAATCATTGCCCTCATGGCACGCGATTATCTGGCGTGTTCAGGCTCTTCAGCAGGGCCGGAGCGCACATTCTCGGCAGCGGCTGATGTGTGTTCAGCCAGCCGAGGCGGTCTTGCGCCTATTACCATCGAACGCTCGGTCTCAACTCATATGTGGCTAGTGGAAATGGTGCCTTTGGGTGATGAATTCTGCAGTGTTGCCGAGTTTGTTAGAGTCAAGGATTTCTTATGATTTATTTTGATTTTTATTTTCAATGTTTTTCTGTTTCATTTCATTTTGTCACATTTAGTTGTCATAGTTAATATAGCTTGATGATTATAATGGGAATTTTAGGTGGTGCTTCTTGGTTTTTTTGGGTGTCTCGTCGATTTTTTTTGACAACGATAGCGCGCAGCCGTAGCGATAACGTAACGCTTATCGCCGCGCATCAGACTGCCGATAGCGCCTGATAAACACACGAGTTACGCTATCTAGATAGTGTAACTCTCGGGAGGTACGTTATCGCCGAGGGAAATTCCCCGATAACTCATAACGCTACGCAGCACGCAACTTGCCAGTTAGCGTGGCGTTGCGCTGCTATCTCAGTGTTGCCTAGAGGAAAAAACAGTTTGATTGAGAATTGTAGAATTGTTCAATTATTTTCATTCATATATTATCAAATCTCAAAAACATGAAACCCGAAAGAAAAACAAACAAAACAAACAAACACATCAATTGAAACCCATGATATTCCAGAAGAAGAAAAAAATCCATTTTTTTTGGTTTTACAATCTTGAATCTTTAGAAAAATTTAATAAGATAATCAAAAAAAATGAAAGATTCCTAAAGAAAAGAGAAAAAAGAGAAAAGCTAAAAACTAAAACTTTTTTTGAAATAAATGGAATGGAATGGGGTTTGGTTTTTGTAAAGTGTAAGAGGAAAAAGATAAAATTCCATAAGATGTTTTATAAAATTTTTCCTGAATTCAACTCATTAACCAAAATAAACCAAAAGAGAAAGAGAAAAACAAACACATTGCAAAGTAACCAAAGAAAAAAAGTATCCATTCATCATTCACCCACCCACCTATGCCTTTCCACAAAACACACACACAAACAAACAAACACAACTCCTTCCAAAACGTCCAAAAACCTCTCTCTCTTTCCAAAATTCTCAAACTATTATAAAATTCGATCCCTCATGATTCTTTAAGTTCACCATTCTTTAAACCTTCATTCCATTTCCCACGAATCTCATCATGTATATACCTTCTCACAAACCAAGTAAAACTACTTTCACCTTGTTCAATACCTCCAGTCAGATGAATTCTTTCTGGATTTAATTTGGATAATTCGGATTTATAACTTAATGAACTCCATGCCTATTCCAATCCCAAAAAAAAACAAAATCAGTAAAATCATTCAACATAAAGAATTGAACAGATGTTAAACAACAATGGTTTGAGGGGCTTACATGGTAGGCTAGTTGGCCTGATTTATCGAAATCCCAATCTAAAGATCTATGAACTTTCCATAAATCATCTTCATGCCTATCCGAAAAAAAAACATGCATCAAAACCCCCAGCAATACACTCCAAAAAAAGAAAACCAAGACCAAAAAAGGGTAAACGAACCAAAGTGGATAAAAGAAAGCTCTAGGACCCAAGATAGTGACTTCGTTTGGAAACTTTTGAGCCAATAACCAAGGAACGGAAGCCGAATGATCTGCCCATCTAGTTTTATCAAACGATTTATAAGACGATAACCATCTTGAGATGAAGGGTGAGAACGGTTTAGACAGAATGATCGCATTACAAACTCCTAGGATCTCGGATGATGAACTGGGTGATTGTTCTTGACCTAAGACTACATCTTCGTTTAAGAGGTTCGTAAAGTCTCGGACTATGAAGACTGGATAGGATGGATTTGTCAGTTTGGTCGTAAAAGGTTTGGCGGGATTGGGATTGGAGGATTGGGTGGAATGGGTTGTACTTACCGTCGAAGTCTAGATATATCCCTCCGTGGTCTCTTAGTGCTTCTAGGCGAATTATCTGGAATATTGAACAGTTGAATTAGAACCAAAAAGGGAAGCAAAGATTGGATATGGGAATGGGAATGAACTCACATCAGCTTTATGAGCAAAATGTTCAACAGGTCTACCATAAATTTCTTTAACCTAGACAAAAAAAATCAATCAAACCCATTTAGAAAAAGATCAATGATGAGTTTTTTTTGGTTTGGTTCGGATTGAAAGAAAGCTTACATCTCTAACTTTGATTAAGACGACTTGTTCGATTTCAGTTACTCTATCAAACCACCAACCTGTTGGTCGATAAGCATAATGAATTAAAATCTTTTCAGGTTTTAAAATTTGTAGTGCTGATTGTAATGCAGCATAATGAATAAATCCAAATGGCTAAAAATCAAAATCAAAATCAAAATCAAAATCAAAATCAAAATGTCATTAAATCTTGTTTTTTTTTGGTTTTTTGGTTTAGAAGAAAGATATACTTTTTCACCAAAATCAGATGACATTCCAAAAACATAATGAAGGTATTTAGGAATTTTAGTTTTATGAACCGGTTGATGTTGTTGATACTCAGAAGTAGGCAAATTAACCAGAAAAGGAATCTTATATTTTTTAAATGAATTTAAATTAGTCATCCTATTTGTCGGATTAGAACCTCTGAACTGATGATTATGAGAAGTTAATCTAGGTTTTAAATCAATTAAAGATAATTCTTGATTCGGACTAAATAAAGATGCAGAACCAATGATATAACCTAAATAAAAGATAATCGAAATGATCAAAGTAGTGATTAGAGGTGTGTAAGGTATTAACCATCGATGGGTTAGAACCGGTCGGTTGTAAGTTGAGTTGAATGGTTTGATGGGAAATAAATTGAATGGTGCTTGTTTTGAATAAGGTGGTGATGAACATGTTGAAGATGAAGAAGACGAAGAAGACGAATGGTTTGTTGAATTACTAAAGGTTTGTGAATGTGATTGAGCTTGTGGTTGTGGTTGTGGTTGGGATGATGATGATGATGATTTGATAGTTTGATTTGTAGTAGGATTAGTGCTTGATAATCTGGGAGAGATTAGAGTAGTAGTTGAACTGATTGGAGTCGTATTGATCGAGATAGGTGTTGACATTGAAAGAGGTGAATGAGGTGAGATTGATGTGATCGTATTGGTTCTTGATCTTGAACTTGTTCTTGGTGATGTTGTTGTTGTTGTTGGTGGTAGTGAGTCCTAGTGAGTCAGTTGAAGTTCTCATTTTGGTTTGATTTTAAAAATTTAATAATTCAAATCTTTCAGTTCAATTTATCATTTCAATACAAAACACAATACACCTCGATACATTCAATCTTCTTTTCAAAATCTCATATTCATCTTACCAATTTAATTTGAACATCAATCCCGTGATGCCGTGATGCCGTGATGCAGAAGTGGATGAGATGCTTGGGAGTTGACGGATAAAGAAACTTGGTTCACAATCATTTCCTCATTTGAATTTCACACAGATATTCCAAATCAATCAAGCTTGTAAAATGATCACACATACTCCAACTCTTGTTTAGGTATATCCCATTCCCTGGCAGCATGATGAACCTTTGATTCTTAACCCTCGCAACAAGTTTTACTATGGTTTGTTCTCAGAGGTTCTTCGGCAGAATTGGTTTGCAACTTTGCAGGTTTTGAAATTCATTTAGAGATGTTGTATGTATAGGAATCTCCTAGCTTTTGAGATATCTTCACGACTCATTGAACGTTCTCTGCTAAGAGTAACCTTATAAATTTTTTGTCCTTGTATACTTCAATTTTCTCCTCAATTTTCTTGCAGTCAACTCCTCAGTCTTGACCTTTTCTCAAATTCATGCTGTACTTCTGTTCTGAATTGAGTCCATATTAAAACTCCATTGTCATCTCTGCTGCTTCTGTACCAGGTATTAGGGGGTTTCAAGTCAGAATTTTTTTGTGAAACTTTTTAAAAAACGGACAAGTTTTTCAAATTTTACGGTGGGTTTTTTTTCTGCAAGTATACGGTCAACACCATTTGGGACACCTAAAAAGGTGTCCCAATTTTTTTAAATTTACAGTATGTTTTGCAACATTGGACAACTTGTTGGACTGTAAAATACCGTAAATTTATTTTTGATTTCGGATTGTTGTAATCTTCAGAACAAATTTTCTGTTAACCCTAATGCTTTCCTTCAGCTTGAATGGCTGAAAGATGTCAATGTTCAATTGCCGGGAGTTTGAAAGCCTCTGCACGCCAGTTAAACCATGCAGGAGTGAGATGAGGTGAGTTTGAAAACTGCAATGCAAGATTTTCTTTCCAAAGTACTGGTACACTATATAAACCAACTACTCAGGTGCAGATGTGGCCAATATCTGATGCCAAAATTTCAAAATCAAGCCACCAACATATTGTCCAACTCTTTTGTTGATCACCTGTTACAGAAGAGTATAATTCCTAGAAATCCCTTCTTGCACCATAATAACCTCCCTGAGCTTTTGTCTATACACACTTCCGCCTCAATCACATCAACTCATGGCAGAGCTTTCCACATCAACATGAGGGAAAGGCAAGAGTTTGATGACAAAGATTTCAGAAGAGGATCAAATAGAATCACCATGAAGCAGTAATTGCAAGAGGAATCAAAGAAGAATGAAGTGCTGGAAAGGTATACTAATGTGAGAGGAGCTCTGGAATCATTGCTTCACAACTTGGTTCAAGATTTATAAAAGACACAGGTGCCAGATGGGGACAAAATGTTTCAGTTAGTTGTCAAGATTGAAGAATCTATTTGGTCAATACATGGAGCAAGGTCATGTTATTCCATCCCTGGCTATTGTTCATTGGACCATATCCTGCCATCACCAATCAATCATTCTTCTTTTCCTACCATGGGTGCTGCTCCAGCTCCTCGTGCTTGCATTTTGGAATCCAGTGTGCATAGCCTGAAAATACCTCCAACTGCAACACTGTGAACATATTCCTAGGCACAATCTATGCCTGCAGTATGATGGGTGACTCCACAAGAAGCACCAGTGGCCCTACTGATGCTACAGTCGTTTTCAAAAAGCTTGCCGCTAATTCACTGCCAAATTGCTCAAGTTTTGCGGGCAAATTTCGGCAAGCTTTTTGAAAACAACTGTATAACCAAACCTGCCAGCGCCACCACCTCCAGCTCTAGCTGCAATCATTGATAAAAATCAACGGGCATCCAAATAATCTGAAAGTAATGATTCTAGAAGTAATGATTCTAGTTCTACTGTCTCAGTAAGCAAAATCAGATTATGCTGAGGCAAAATATAACAGAATGGGAATTCAGCTGACAGGTCTCACCAGAAATGAATCACAGGAGCATCATTTGATGTGAAGGACTTCAATAGTGATAAAGAACACCTCAAGCTCTTGGCTTTGTTGTCAACCCAGAAGGGCAATCACAACTTACCCCTTAGGATAACAAAAAAAATAAAAACATATATTATATTTCTCAAAACCCATACAACATGTTTTGAGCAACCACACCTCACACTCAAGTATCAAGAGTGAATTAAATTGACATGCATCACTAGAATAATGCTCAATATAGAATAAACAAGACCAATAAAATAGAAAAGGAAGAACCCCATCAGGGTGTAAACCCTGATTGGTTTGAACAACTAACAATGAATGCCACAGGAGCAAAAACAAGAACCAACAAGGCTTAATTAAAATCCTAGACATGTCAAGGATCAGACTACCGCAAGAAACCGTGGACACAACATCAACTAAATCCGGAGCAACAAGCCCTGCCTGGCTGAAATACCTATGTCAAACTTCCTACACAGAGGACCAGAAGCTCAACTCAACAAGTATAAGAAGAGACAAATCTCTCAGACTCTACAGAAAGGAAGAATCATCTTACAAACTTACAGCCTATTTTCACTTGGAATTCAAAACTCTATAGCAATCCCTTAAAAACCCCAGCTGGATACTCTTAGACTCAGACCTTATCTACCCATCAGAGATACCATCTAGTTCAATTGCTTATTTGTGGAGTTCTACCACTTGCTATCCATTTTTGAGCAGTCTATCAAAGAATCACTGTCATCAAAATAAGACTCAAGACTTGTTTGTTTCCCTCTTGTCAAACATTTTATTAAAGCTTATTTTGATAAAGATGTTCATCTGATCAATTTAAGTAGAATTAGACCCCCCTGAGATTGTGAGGGGTCAGCTACTTTTTGGCTGACTCTTCACTAAAAAGGTGAAGTACGGGTGGAATAAAGATTAACAAAGTCTTTACTTGGTACACACAAGTAAAGACTTCAGTTAGTTGACCTCTAAGGAGAGGGTTTAAAGCCAGTGGGATGGCTGAGTAATCCTTCAAAGGAGCTTACTCAAGAGCTCTGTTGGGGATAGAGCCTGCAGAACTTTACACTCTGATTGCTCAAAGGTTCCGCCGGATACTTTACACTCAACTCAGGAGGTATCCTATGCAATTCTAAAGCTTGGTTCTATAACTATATAGTCCCACTAGTTTAGAACCACCACTTTAAAGCTTACAAGGGCTTGAGGAAGGTTGTAGAACTATAAGATCAAATACAATAAAATCACTATACTCAATATTCTAGGTAAGAATCAAGTAAGTTGTGATGTGGAATTGTGGAATGATAATAAGTTGGTCCTTCTTCTAGAGTGGGAAGAAGAGGAGTTTATATATTCCAGATCTAGGCGTCAACTTGTGGTTGGCGCTTAGGTTTGCTTTTCTTTGAGTTAGGTTTGGGTTAGGTTTACTATTACTAGTTAAATCCTAGTAAGTCTTGTTACTTAAGTGACTCTTGAAACTGAGCCATGAGTTGTAATTCTTATGGTTTTAGACAAGTTTCATATGATTACATATGTATTACATATATTTACATGTGTGTTTGTTAGTCCGTGGTCCTGTACACAGGGCTCAGGGCTGACATTCCCCACCACCAGAGAAGGTTATCCTTCTACTGAACTGCTGCATCCCTCTTAGATGCTCGAAAAGCTCTAAGAGTCACCTTTGAGTTAGGTACTTTATCTCCTGGGAGCCATTCATCCCCATCTGCTCCTTTACCTTTATACCTGACCAGGTATAAGATGGTGTCCTTACCATCCTTATCTTTAACCCGTTTATCTTTGAGTATCTTCAAAAATTTCTTCTCTCCTTCTGGCTCATATGGAGGTATGACTACTACTGGTACCGTCCTTGTTTGTCGAATATCACTAGCCTCAGGAGGAGTGTACTTCTTAATCAGGGAAACTGGAAAAACAGGATGCCTCCTTTCTAACTCGCCATGCAATATCAGTTCCACTGCATTCGTGCCAACTAATTTTGATATCACAAAAGCGCCTACAAATTGATCTCTCAATTTCTTTGGTCCCTGGATATTATTGAAATTAACAGTGGAAAGCAGTACTTGTTCTCCAACAGAAAATTCAGGTTCTCTATGTGACTTATCCCATCTCTCTTTGTTATACTCTACTGATTCTCTGACACACTTAGTAGCATATTCCCTTGCTCTGCTCAGCATTGTGGCAAAACTTAGCGAGGTAGGGTGAATATCCACATCCCTACTACAAAATTTGTCCCATTCAAACATGTCTGATTTGTCGGAAAGTCAGAGAGTCAGAACACACCAAAATTTGGTTTTCTGACGTTCTGAAAAAACCTTGGAAAATTTTCCAATTTTTTTCTGAATTTATATTTGTATACCATAATTATCATCATTTCCAATCCGAATTCCTTTAATCAAACAAATCCATTGGTAGTAAGAGATTCACTTTGTAAACCAATCAAGGATTTATTTCTATCTCTTTGATTTTAAAATTAATTTTTGATGATCTAATGGTTGATGATCTCTTTCAATCTTTGCTACTGAATCACTCACACTTTTTCAGTGTGATGATTCAATTAACACTTGTTGAAGATGAACTTGTAGTACTTGAATTTGTGATTTGTTGTAATAAACCTTGATGTTCAAGATTTCCTGAATCACAAAAGAAACCCATGTTGAAGATGACAAAAAAACAGAGAATGGCAAATCAAAGAACAAAGAAAACACTCTCAAGACATGATACTTTCATGACAAAAGACAAATGAGCAACCTTCCGGGCAAAAGAAATGATAGCTTGGAAACCTACATAGAAAAATTCGTCCAAAACTCTGAATATACAAAATGGCATCTCCTGAAAATGTTCTATTGATGGATGAGTTTAAAAATGGTTTGATTGATTTTCAAGTCTGGATCAAAAATTTCATTTCATTTCATCTTTACCAAACACTTGAATGGTGGTCAAGTGGTCAACAATGATCATTTGGATCTTTTGTTGACCTTTTTGGTTGACTGTTTGGTAAACAAAAAAGCCGAACTTCAGCTTTTCATTTTGCCCCTTGCAAACGGGGCAGAATGAAAAGTCGCTTTTGTGTAACGACTTTTGGGAAAAATAGCCACACGAGCCCTAAGTCTTCAGGTCAGCTGGGCGCCCATCAGCCTGCGCCTGGACTCAGACTGATGAGTTTCAGTTGTACAGAAGCTTGCCTTTGTCTAGCAATTGTGAGACAAATGCAAGACAAATGTGAGCAAAATGTGAGTGAAATGTGGTCACCAAAGGCCCCCCAGCGTCAGGGGCCTTTTCCACAGGCACTGTGATAATAACTGCTAAACCACAATCGAGGTTTTTTTACATTTTTGCCTCGATCATCCACCTGGTGAGGTGAAAACTGTTGGTAAAAGGATGCAAGGTTGTCCTTGCATCCACCATCAAGCCCACTGTGTCTGAGAGCAAATTGTTCAAGGTGAGCTCTTTGATCACATGTTGTAGACATAAATCGTTTGCGTTTTATGCAAACGCGATACATAAAACCTCTCCCATTTGCGTAAAATTTACATAAACTTATGCTACGGCGGGAGAAGTTTTTTGTGGTAAAAACTGTAAATAGAGTCAAACTTGACACCCCCTACTATGCGGATGCAAATTTTAAGGATTTTACAACCCAAAATTTACGTTTGCAAAGTTCCGGCAAGTCATCCGCAAAAGTTGTCTTGAACTGCCCTGTCTTATTAGGGCAGTTCAAGACAGTTTTTGCAAACTGCTTGCCGGAAGTGTGCAAACATAAATTTTACGTTCATTTGATCCTCAAATTTTGCGTTTGGAGAGTCATAAACGCCGTAAAATTAAGTTTTACGGTCTTTGCTTGTCAGGGCCAACGGTCAAGAAAGATTCTGGTTGCCCCGTGTTGGTTAGGTCAAACACAACGGTAACGGTCTTTTTCAAATGATTTTTTTTCGATCTCACTTTTTTCATTTTGTGTTGTAATCGATGTGCCGTGAGATGAATGTTAATGAAAGAGAAACTTGTTAAAAAAACAAAGGGCCGTTGTATGCAGGGCAAAAAACTGAAAAAAAACAAAAAAAAACTCTTTCTTTGGACAATTGGAGCTGAGCCTCAAAGGGGTTTTTTTTCGCAGTTGAAATGTATAAGTTTGTATAAGACCTCAAAAAGGATTGCAAAGTGGTGAACCACCTCTAGGGATGGCTCACCAAACTTAAAATTGAACTTATAATTACAACTACCCAAGCAGTCTGTAAAAGTGTAAGACAGGCTGTAAAAGCCCGTCTTGAACTGCCCTATTGTTGAAGGAGGTACTATATGGATATCACACCCGGATACCAAATATATGTATTGCTTCCAGATCCTACTTGTAGGTATCCCAGAAGTGGTGCTGATGAGGGTGTCTGAAAACAATCAAATTTACCCCAGTCTACCGCTTATGTGTGAAACAACAGCATTTGTTTTGATATACAATTACGGTACTCAAAGTTGTGTATACTTTGCTGTGCATAGTTTTCTTTTCTTTTTTCACAACTTCACACAACCAGGGAAAACTATGTTTTTGGCTTAAACTACATATCTTTGAGCTTCAATCAAGAAACATAGTTTTTCCAAGTTGTTTGTAATTGCAAAAAAACACAAAAAAACTATGCACAGCAAAGTATACACAACTTTGAGTACCGTTAATAAGGGTACTCAAAGTAAGTATGTAAGTGTACATACTTTTTGCTATATACTTTTTTTGGCGGGGAAGACGAGGCCAAAAGTATATTTTTTTCTTTGTCCCCGCCAACAAAAGTATGTAGCGAAAAGTATGTAGCGCTACATACTTTACTTTGAGTACCCTTAATATCAATAATTACACACTAGTTTCTATAAACCCCTTAGCTGGCTCACAAATTTCTTTGGGTGTCTCAAGTTCAGAGTTTTTGACTTTTGTTTCTAACTTTGACCCTGTTGGAATTTTTCATTTACTAGCTCCAAATGATAAGGCTGAGGCTCAGCAACATGCTCAGATGACTGTTTGAATCTCACTTGGACGCTGTTTGAAAATTGCCAAAAAACATCACTTGAGACGCCCTGCACCAGAGTCAATGATGAAGCTGATGGTCAGGTCTGTGAGGGTCAGTGTGAGGACATCTTGAAAAGCGGGTGGCCCAGGTGGGCCCGCCTATTCTCTATTATCCGTGGTTTTCGGAAAAACGCGGGAATGGCTGATGACGCGGCCTGAGGTTGAATCACCTCGCTTGCCTGAAGCCAGCTTCAGCCCTTGATCCCAACACTTGAGCGGCTTTGAACCTGCATGAGCTCCATTTCTGATCCCAATCGGAGTAAATAACCCACACGGTCGATGTATCAATCAACGGCGGATATGGAAAAAATAATCGAAAACAACAGGGCGAACATTCATTACCGAAACAGTTGTACTTGATATCCCATATGTATTCATCCAATTCGGCATTTTCAGTAACGCAAGACAGAGATTGAAGGATGACGCTGACGGTCGTGCCCATCGACTTTAACCGGATCGCCACGTTTCTAGGTGCTAGGGTTCGCAAGCGAGGAGATCAATCGACGTGATATCCTCCTTTGGGAATAGCTTAGAGTCCGCCAATTTGTCAGACATCCAAGCCCCGATTAAATTTGAACCACAGACCTTCGGCACGAACCGTTCACCTCGAACAGATCGTCGGGAAGCATTCTTTGAGGCAAGCTAAAGCGCTACATCGCTTGAACGGGCTTGACTCAATTGCTCAAATAAGCTTGGGTTGATAAACATGTTGCAAATGTGCAGCATAGCTGCGAGATACTTTTGAGGCTTCCTTGCATAACCTTATGCTGTCCCTCTTTTCTGACCACTCTCTCCACCTCGGATACCTCTGCTTCACCTCTTGTGTACATCTCACTGGATACAAGCCATGAATCTTCCACCTTTATCCCTTCTAACTCGGTCATCTGTTGGGACTGCAGCCACCAACAATCCTTTCTCGTACCAACTGGAGGTAGCTGTGAGTCAATATAGTCGCGTTTGGAAAAGCTACAGGCGTGCCGCGTTATGAAATAGACATGCAGCTGACCGAGAATGTTTCTCTATATGCTTGCTTTCCACCCGATTCGCACGATTGAACAACGGCTCACAGAGGGAGTTGATGCACCCCCAGTTTCCTCCATGGGCTCTGTCGCTTTTGATAGCATTTGGAGTTATGCGAGGTATCATCATGATTATCTGCACAGCAATCATTTTGACGCCGGTATTCAAAGGCGCCGCTAGTAGGAAAAAGCATTTTTTCTTGATCCGTCAAGTATATTTGACACACAGTGAGTCAAGATACAATCACCACAATGGGCTATTGTCAACAGTCTGCAAAGGAAGTTGATCAATGAAAGTTCGTATCCTATTTGTTTCTATGTGCTTTTGTGCCACCAGGTCAACGGATGCCATTCATTGTTCCAAATAGGTCTATTCTATACCTACCTGAATGAGCTTCGATATCCTTGATACGTTACAACCCACTGATTCTGTCTGTATATCTAGGTCGATGATCATAGCCCTGTGCGAGTTGCTATCCAGCGCTTTCTATGTGATCGTGGCATGCTGCAATTATCGAGTGAGCCTCACTCCTCTCTGTCAAGCTACGGGTCTCAAAAGCCATTGACTTCTTCGTGGTATGTTTCTATTCTTGCTTCAAAATAGTATGATTCAGAAATCGAGTACCCTCGAGGGCCCATAGGTCATATAGTCACCTGGTCAGTCGCTTTTCAATAAAAAATATTCTCCCCGCTTGATTTCCATGCATATCCCCGCTTTGATCGCTCAACTGTCTATTTTGATAGGTACGGTATTGCGTGAGTGTGGTTCACATTTTTCGGAGTTGCCATCTTGAACCTGCAAATAAAACATTGATCATCATCAATCGTGCGTCACACTTCGACGTCAAAGTGCTAGCTAATTTGTGAATTCTCTGTTACACGTGATATCAGATGGCTTCCGTAGGTCCACGCATCGGTAAACATACAATTTGAGGATTCTTTTCTGACACACCCTTGATTCAGCGCGTACCTAGGCATTTGGATCTCCACATGGAGTTTGATACACGCTTGGTAGGTTTTCTTTGAGAATCCTCTACTTCCGACCATTGAGAAAAGATTTTCCGATGATTGATTCTCTTTGTTCCATATTTTATGAAGCCTTTCCAACGTTGGAGGTACTAATAATAAAAGAACTCGGTTTCTAACTCCGCTTGTCTACAACTCTATATGGATGTCCTGGTCACTCTTGGTGATTGCAGTCACAAGCTTTTGGGCTGCCCGTGCGTCTGGAGTCTTCGTGTCGATTGAAAGCGACATGTTACAGGCGTCTGCTTCACTGACAGAGTTGGCCAAGTCATGGGATATCAACCATAGTTTTTCGGGGATACCACTTGGATCTCTCTTAGAACTCCGAGATCGTCTCCTTACTTTGCAGGATAGACTCAAATATGTGTCTTGGGGATGGGCAGGATGTTGGATTTCATTCGCGTTTGTGTTGGCAGCCGTGAGTAAAATTTGCCACGACTCGAACCCTTTATGGCTAACTTCAACTATGACATTCACTATCACCTAAGAGAGTTGAAGAAAAACTGTTCATGATATAGTGACTACTGCTGACTCAGAAAAATCTTGATATACAGTGCTACTTGATCACAGTCCGCTCACTCCTGGGAATGCTCAAAGAATTATTACGGATACGTGATTCGGATGTGTGGACTCACCAATCGTGCTCCACGATCTGGTCTGAGGTGGATAGGGAAATACGTAAGACTTCAACATTCAGAATTTTTGTTATCTTTTGCTCAACTTATCCAAGTGCTATATGATGGAACCGATCTTGTTTGCCTACAAATTAATTGGTTTAGGCTTTCTTTCCGGCTCTTCTATCGCCCTTGCATTAGCCATACTCTCTCAGATTTGCGTATCGATATATCAATCTCTTAGTGGCGCACATCTGACACAGTGAGATATCATACTCTTCAACAATTTCACGATCTTAGACTTATCATGACAGCACCACTTACTCTTTGCTGATGCGTGTTTCTAGGGTCCAGTGGAGGATCGGCTCAGCCATTATTGTGCAGCTTCCTGGTGTTTTCATGGTACCAGCTCAACTCTTACAATCGGTAAGAGCTTCGAATTCGACTCAAGTTACTTTCAAATATTGAAGCTTTCTTTCGGCTTTTCAATATATTATTTCAGTGGAGGCTCTTTTCCGAACGTTCGGTTCTTGTAGAACCGCAGCTGCATAGAATACCACTGAATGCAAAACACCATGATCTTCCACAAGCTACTTCGCAGTTATTGGGATGGGACACTACGATGTATTGGGGCCATGAGCCATGTATGGAAACTCCTAATTTCTCTGGTCTATGTCCAGTGTCCTCTAGGGTTTCTACAATTACCTCCAACGGTTCGACCCATGGTGATCCAGAGAAGTCTGGGATGAACATCAAGGTCATGCGATCAACCGTCGTTACTCGGGATACTATGTAAATGCTTCTGCTTGTTTTGCTGTGTTTTCACATCTAACATACCCTTGATTCATTCCGCTTCCCAGCCACATTAATGAATCAGGTAACAGAATTTCTTGAAACATTAGATAGACGAGAGGACTCGATCAAAACCCTGGGAATATGTTGCGGATCATGTTCGAGGTGGAAAATCTGAACTGCCAACCCCTTGCTTCACACTCAGACCTTGATGAGATCGTCGGAGAACTATATTCTTCTGATGTGCCACTGTATCCCTTGAATAAGACATTTCGAGTCATCTATACGCAACCTATCATTGTTGTAAGGTTCTATCAATCACAGGTGTGACAGAGTTATTACAAGTCACATTAGATCGACAATACACTGTGTTTCTTTTCTCTGCTTTTCTCCTGTTCTCCTTCCTTTTTTTGTTTTTCTTTGAGATCGTTTTTCTTGTAATTTTCTGATGTTCCCTTCAATCCCGATTGCGGTGGAGATAGATATGAGCCCTTTCCTTTTCCTTTCCATTTTTGGACTAAGACTTGTTCAGTTCTCTCCCTAATAGTTACCATTTTCCTTTCAAGCAATCCCGTATTAGGTCTTTGCCTTGTAAAAGGCTCCGACCTGGTGTGTGGGAGGGCATAGGCCGCGGACTGTCTGTCAGTGAAAAGGCTCTTGCTGGCAGGGGCGGGTGGGTGGCTCATGGAATCTGATCTGTGTCTTACGCTCACACCCGGCGGCTTTTTTGTGGCCCATGGCATGGTTTGCTTTTCAAAGAATGTCTGATCATAGCCCAACTCATTTTTTGTTGCTACTCCCTCAAACTTAACTAAGTCCCATTGTGCCGGGGTTTATACATAGCAAGCAATTTGCCTCTTACAACAGGCACGCATTGTGAGACTAGTCCATGAAAAGGGGAGCGCGCTCTTTAGAATGATGATTACCAGAATGGGAGATATTAGAGAGCGGGACTAACCAGTTAAGAAAGAAATGATCCCAAGTAAGAAATGTTCATTAATGGAAAGGATTAATTCATCTCCAAACAAGCAGATAAGTCACATCACTCGATTTGGAACCCTGAGCAAATGATATATACCTTGGGTCGCAAGAGTCTGGTTTGTCCCCTCGTCCATATCTCTAGTATCTAATTTTATCATCTTTTTCCCTTTTCTCATTATCCAAATTTAAGAGTATCATATACTCGACATTGGGTAACGATTATATTTTTAACCTCCCACGCACCCTAGACTATAAGTACAAAACGAGGAATCCAGTATAATTTCTGGATTCCACCTTATCAATGGAGAGTTCAAACAACCTCTCCACGAACATAGGAAATACGAGAGAGAGTTCATACTCAAAAATGAACTATCCCTCGAGTACTTGTTTTTAATTCCAGGTTTCAGAAGTAAGAAAGACTCTTCCTGAAACCTACCGCCCACACCAAATCCTTTCCTCACTTAGTACTGACTAAGCAAGGAAAGGATAAGTCTAGTGAAAAAATAAGAGTTACAATTGATAATGGAGGCCGAGGCACAAGGGACTTACTCCTTACCCTGAAGTTTTGGTGTGGTTCCTTGAGACTTTTAGTAGGGGAAATTTAGGATTGCCTTTTACCCCAAATTCCCATAATCTACTGTGTAGAAAAAAGTGGGTATGAAGAAGCGCCTGCTTGTTCTGCACCTTTCTGTCAATTGAGTTTCTCACTTGCATTGGTTGTTATTTTTTTTTCTCAACACAGCAAACAATGTGATCCTAAAATTTGGAAATTTGAGCGTGCTGCGAGAATGTTACACAAGACATACACAGAAACCATATTTCAGCTAACTTAACACAAGTCCAAAATTCATCACAGGGCTCTCTTAACCTCACAAGCTTGGTGCCCTGGATAGGGACTCGGGACTAATCACATAATATGGGTGATGGAGCAGGAACCCAAAAACCTTGTTGAGGCATACAGCTGTCTGTCTTTTGTAGTTTGGATGCTACAGATTTTCTGAGGAGACCAAAATCTTCTAAACCATCAAATGCACAACTTTGGTCTTTGACCAAAGCTGTTGAATCAGATGGCAGTCCTCTTGCCATGAAAGAGGATTGTGTTCCAGGAGGTTGTTTGTAAATTTTGTTTCAAAATTACAGTCACTGCCAGCAGCCAAATTTCAAATTCCAAAAAGCTCTTTTTTGTGGACTCTGAGATGAAGTTACAAGGATTCTGAGTAGACAGATGTGATAGGAATTGCTTCAAGCAACTCCAGTCAAAATCGTCACGGTGTGGTGATCAGAACACACCATCACCCTCACCTTTATATACACAAAGAAGGGCTCAAGAAGCTCAAAGTCTTACTCACTGAGAGCAGATTTCAAGCTCGAGTCAAGTTGCTAGTCAACAAAGAGAGCAAAAAAACTTAATTATGTATCTTTCATTTTTAGGAGATATCATATCTAGTAAAGTTAGACATGATAACAAAGTAACTCAGGTAGTTAAACAAAGCATGTTAATGAGATATAACACAGAACGAGGATTTGGGTGAAGTAACAGATAAGATAGCAAGTTTAGAAAATGGGAATCAAACAGAATCGAGTCCGAGAAAGGGTAATAGAAAGGTCACTTTTTCAGGTTCAAAGTTACAACTAGATCAAAACTGCATCTCAAGATTGGAAGAGGGAAGACCGAGTCTTAGAGAACATACAGAACAAATAAGTTGAAAGTATCAAAAGAAGTCTAATAATCGAAAAGGTTGTGAAAGTCTAAAATTCGAGATAAAGGATTGATAAGAAAGTTTGAAAGAGGAAGTTAGAAAGAGGTTAGAATCGAATGGATTATAGTCAGATATATGAAAGGGATAAGCCAAGACTCACTCTGGTTCATATTCAAACGAGGGATTCAGATCGAATTCAAAAGATGACATAGGAAGACTGATTTCGGGGAATCTACTTAGAAAAGATAAAGAGAAAAGATGTTAGTAAAGTGCAAAATCAAAAAGCAAATCAGAAATGAACCTATAAGAATCACCTCTTGGCGTGCAAGATCAAGCTTTGAGATTGAAAATAGGGTAGGTCAATCAGATTGCAAGTGAGATGAGAGGTTGATGTGAAAGTTTTGAAGATCGAGGAAGATGAAATTGAGGTGGAGATCGAAGACGAAGAGTAAACTAGCAGGGAAGCAAGGATAAGAAAAGAGAATTGAGGTTGAGATGATGAGCGATGAAAGAAACAGATAAGAGAAAGAAAGAGAAGGTACTAACATATTGCATAAATGATAAAGCAAATTTGAGAATGATCAGTCGGAGGAAGCACAGTGGGGTTGAGGATGGAGGACACATCATGAGCTGGAATCGAGTAATTGAAAGGTATAAAAAGGGGGCTGTTTGAAGGGAAAGGAGGGGGATTCATCCAATTATTGTGTATCGAATTATTGTGTATCTGAATAGTTGTGTGTGTACGAATGGAGTTGATGCATTAAAGTGTACTGTTTTGATTTATTCCTGTCGATCATAGAGAATCAACCTAAGTGTGTGCTTGTGATATCGTATCATTAATGTTAAAGGGAAACCGCGTTCGCCGGCAAAACCCAATTAAACTCCCAATCAGTACTCCAAAATTGAAGGTTTACACGCTCACCGGATTTAACCTGATTTCCACGCGACTCACCCCCAATTTGTTCCCCATTCCTCTCATCAACTTAATTTGTCACCACCTACCAATCTTCAGAGGGCATGGTCGCATCCGCGGAACTTTGGGAACGTTCCCTAAAAAACTGTTCCCAAAGGCATTTGGGAACATTTTCAAATCAGTATTGTAACACCCCCGAGAACTTAGCCGAACATAGCCAGACAGCTGTCATGGTTGCGGCGTAAATATGTCCTAATACGTCTCATAAGGTCTCACAACAAAATTCGAGTCTGGAAAGACCTCAATATTTTAGATGGATGTCCTTCCCCGTTGATTGTGATGCTGAATAAATCACAATTTCAATCCAAGCACCCCTAACATGACCACATGTTTAATATAGAGACACATCACTGACTCATCTTGAGGCCAATAAGATCAGACAGTTCAGGCTTTCTCATTTTCACAAGCGCGCAAAGAGGGCCTTATCATCCTCAGCTTAAAGAGGATGAATAAATTGTGAACCATGCATCTTGCCCATTGCAACTAGTTTCTCTCAGAATCTGTGCGTCAGTGACTAAAGATGAACTCTTGAACCCTCGTGATGCAAGCATGAGCTCTACCAAGCTCCAAGCTGGTATGTATTACTTCCTCATGGTCACTAGGAGTGCTCACACTCTCTACCATTCAATCCATCTTGAAGCTCCTCCCTTTGAACTTCGCATCAATACGTGTATAAGGTCAGCCTGAGTCAGTCAACTTCCCCTCAAGATCTAGACCTCACTTACCCACCCCACTTTTGAAACCCAATCTTTGATCCTGTTATCTTTCTCTTCATGCCCATAACCAGGTTATATTATCACAGTCTTGCTTGTGCACGTCGAATCTGGCCAAGAAGTCCTTTGACAGTCGAGCTGAATCAACCGACTGGATTTCACTGTGAAGGACCTCGCTGCAGATCAAAACCTATCCACTCGTCCCGTTACTATAATCCCAAACATCAACCCAACAAGCCATTGATTGGTCTATTGGTAAGTCCTTTTCTAAGATCATATGTTGTTTGATCAATGTAGCTGAGGCAAAACTCGCAACTGATTGCTTCTGAGTGCATTTAAGTGCCCACTTGAAAGAAACAACAAAGGAGCATTTCGAACGTACAGCCGCTTAGAGTACCTTCAAGATATCTGTACCCTGAATTACAAGGCTACTTTGCAAGAAAGCGGAACAGAGTCCAGTCGTTCCGTTCAGCATAATAGGCTCAAGCGAACCAACACCCCCACATCAAATATGCCACAGGTCAAGCGCTCACGTTTACCTTGCTCAGGTATCATTGATGTCAGTGCACATATCGGACCAGGCAAGGCTGGCAATAGACAATGCACCTGGGCTGCTTGTCCTGATGTACGTGCATTATCCATAACGTTTCATGTTGTATATGGCGGATTGACATCTATGATTGAGACCATTCGTCTGTAGTGTTGTCGCAAACAGCGTGAATCCACTGGATTGAAGTGTCACACCCATGAAATGGGGGAGCGGTCCAAGATTGTAGTGCACAACACCCAACCCTTTCTTCAAAGTGTCATTGAATCAGCCGGAACCAGTGGTGTGACTCAAACTTCGATCACTAATGCAAACCCACCTGCAAAGGTTGGTGGATCTGATTTACTCGGTCCGACCCCACCGGTACACCCTCTGGTATTGTCACCTTTGACCATGCGCGCGTACCATCTCAATCGATCAAACAAAGAAGAATATAGGCGTGCTGCTGAGGCTGCTGAGGCAAGTTACGATAAAAATATTTCAATATCACTCTGGTTAAAGGTGCAGTAACTTCTTCTCTCAAAACTTGCATCATAATGATTACTAATGTATGTTTTGTGTGTTAGGCTGAAAGCGACCCAGTTCAATTTTTATTTGCATCAAAAGCATTGAAAAATTACGCGATATCAGAATGTGAACCTTTGATGCTATATGTAAAAGCTGAAGTCCCAGATTGGAACCAGTGCCTTCGAGTATACGATGTTAAAGCTGATCGATGGGTAAGATACATATTGTAAAGCTTATTTGATTTTAAAGCAGCTTTTTATAATGACTATATTTCTCAT